GGAAAAAGAAATTCTGAAATTCTGCTTCAGAGAACTCATTTTCTCTTGGCATTGAGCACTCTTCCCAGCTCTACTCTGAGCTTTGGGATTCTGTGAATATTTCAGATTTATTTTTTCACTTGTTTTACATTTACAGCTAGTTTAAAAACATTATGCAGTAAAGCTTGAAGAAACCAGCACCCAAGTGTCAAATAACACAGAGAAAGTGCAATCCCCAAATTCATGTATTTTTCTAAATTTAATTTTAAAGCCAGTCTTTTAGGATTTTGATTTCTTTTTTCTTAATAGTTGCAATACTAAAGATACTCAAATGCTCTTCACTCTAGTCACAGTACCTATATGCAAGAACTGATGTTAGTTGAACTTATAACAAATCATTATCAGAAAGGAAGGAGGAACAAAAAGTCATTTGGCATGAATGGGCCATGTATTTTGGCATATGCTGAAGTGGAAGTATTGCTGTATTACAAATATTAATTTTTAAACTCAGTTAAAATGACCAGAAGACCAATTCCTATGTTTCTCTCAAGAACAAAATCTGTAAGATTTTCTTCTGTACCTTTCCTGTCATATCTCAGTAAATGTGACTGTTTCTGGTGGTTTAGAACTCCAGTGCTTTTCCTGGTTTGAGGTTTTCTTCACCAGTTTCTTCACCAGTAACCTGTTCTTGTGTCCCTGTTTGGATTTTCATCACATTCATTTGGTCTAGAATTCATGCACTTCTAAGGAGTCTCACAGAATCTGTAAAATACAGTTGACAGGACTGTAAGTGTTTTCACATCCTTGCATATATATGTAGTGGTTCTTAACCATTTGCATCTTTACAATTTCCATCATTTCACTTTGCCACAAGTTACCTAAGAGTTGAGCTGGAAGACAGTTTAGACATTTAGACTTTTGTATCTGAATAATGTGGGAGAGATGAAAAAAGCTCCTACTATCTTCCAAGTATTGTCCTTCTTCACTGTAACCAAATGATACTACATCATTAATATATTTAACCTCTTTCACTTTCAGACTACTAGAATGCAAAATTCTTCTCTCGATGTAGATGATTTGCTCAAAAGATTAAATTGTTTTTTCTGAGGAAAACAAATGCATCAGCACATCTGTTCTCAAAGGTTCAAAGCAGGAGGTATGTCTTCTTAATGAATGATTTTGAAATTTCTGGACAAAAAAAATCTCAGTGCCATTAAAAGGAATGCAGGCAATATAGAAAAGAAAAGGGTAATTATAGAAATATCTATCAGGAAGCGTAAGAATAAGAAGATGAGGAAAAAGCTAGGACGGAAAGCTTTGCTGGCTACAGTAGACATCAAGGGTCTTGAGCCTAAACTGGGCTCGGATAGATTTCTGGCTATAAATGCAGTTTTCCAGATTGAATCTGACTTTGAAAACTCAGTGAATTAATAACAGCTCCTTCTCTGATCAGGTATTCACTGATGAGCAGAAAGTCTGTTTGCCTTGTAAGCAGGACAGGTATTCAACCAGGAATGCTCCAGAGATATTTTTAAAAGGGAAGTTTTTGTTTCCTTTTCAAATTGGACTTTGTTTTGGCTTATCTACCTTTATCTCTGAACTTATGTCATTCTCCTCTTTTACCCTTCCCAGTTTCCTTCTTTGAAATAATTTTTCTTCAGTGTAGCTCCCCAAAATATTCTTGATTCATTGATGTTGGCAGAAAATGCTGATCTGTATTAATGAAATTCTATAGGAATGTATTTGTTTCAGTGACACTACAGCTGAAAGCAATTATGGGCTCCAATTCTAAATCCCTGTAAAAAAATAAAATCAAAAAAATCCTAGGAGCTTTTCTAACTACTAGGTTTTAAGTTAGTGGCACTCTCATGGGAATTGAGGCTGCAAGTTCAAGTCCCTTTTCCATCCAATTTGGAACTGGAATTGGAACAGAAAATTGTATCTGGGTCATCTGCATTTCAGGCAAGTATCCTGCTCAGCAAGCCAAGAAGTCAGCATCCCCTATCCAACAAATATTTTTAATTTAATGAAGTCTTGAATAGGAGGGATTTAGCTTCTTCCATGCCATGCAGAGGAGACACTGGTACCCAGCCCCCCATGCTCCCCCTTCCCGTCGTGAGCCATGTGGTAGTTCCAGGAGCAGACTCAGTTTCAATAGACCCATTCCTTTCTAGTAAGAGAATATCCAAAGCCTTGCTAAATGGAATTTTTGCACTCCAGCTGGCACTCCTGTGAAGTCCTGAGCTGCCACTCTCTCTGGCACTACAGAGATGTTCTGTCTTGTCCAGAGATTAAGGCAGGAAACACGGAGAGGTAACTGAGGTTCCCCATTCCTCCTTGATGCCCAGACTAACAACAGCCCAACCCTTCATTCCCTGGTCCAAGGCTAGAAAATAAGAGGAGAGACTTGTGCCCAGATAATAGGAGCAGCAGAACTTGCCTGAAGCAGTTTTTCTTTTCTTAAGAAAAAAGGCCGGTAAATGGAAATTTAGGAGTTCGACATCTATTTGAATTATTGAACTCCTGTGTTTACTTCATTCTCTCCCTGGATTTACAAGTATGAGCTATTTTCATCCCAGCTAAAAGAAAAAGCAAGGCAAACTGACACATGTAGTAACCAGTTTCTTCCTAATTCATGTAAGCCCATTATGAAGGCCTATTTTAAGTTCCTTTTTCTCACAGAAGACATGTTAAACTCAGTTTTTAAGGGCTTTACAGTATAATCAAACCAGCTCAGCACAGCAGGAATTCACATATTTTTTTCCCCATATTATTATAAAGTCTGTTTTCAAGTGTCTTCATTCACTATTGCATTTTGGGAATTCTGGAGATTATAAATAAAAGCATCTTCTTTTCTTGAAAGAAGCTCCAGGCAAGTTCTTTCAGCAGTAGCTTCTCTTCACGACATTACAGAATGCAGTGTAAAGCTCATTGTTACAGGAAAAATATTCCTCCCATTTATCAAAAGATTATTTTAGACACATTAGTTTAAGATATGCCTTTAAAAGGTTGAGTGTTTAGAAAGCACAACAGAACCCTTTGTTTCCTCAATCTGTATGTGTGCTTTGCCACTTTCAGGCTATACCTTCACAGTTTTGTCCCTTGTTTACTGATTGCACGTGTTTTTTAAATGTACACAGATCAACCTGGAAACACCATTTGAGCAGGACCATATCTCAAAGTGCCAGGTGGATATGGACAGGTAGCAAGAGAGCTATGTAAAAAGTAAAGGTTTTCATTTACACTTCCTGACAAGTCTTTCTGAGGGATGGGAAGGGATTTGCTTAGTCCTTCAGTGAAAGTTTGATTCATATTCTCAAGCAAGTCCAATGGGAAATTCCTATTAGGTCTGCCAGCTTTGTCTGTTGCATGAAATGACATATTTGTATTCAGGTGAGACCATTAGTATTTCAAGAAAATACTGGTGATTCAAGAAATTTAGCTAAAAGTTCTTGGCTAACTCTGAGGTATTATACAGTAATTTGTGGAGGGTTGGTTGTATGGGACTCAGAGATTTCCAGACAAAGCTTCACGCAAATATAAGAGTTAATGACATATTCAAAATATCAGCTAAATAATTATACAAGCCACTTTTCTCTTAGGTTTTTTTAATGTAAGACAGGTGTCTACCACATTCCCACAGCAGTATAGAAAATAGGAATTGATCATAATTGCTGCTGAAATGGAAAGATAATGACCAATGACCTTCTTCATTGATGTGAGCAATAATGTTTACTGTGGATAAAATATATACTTTCAGGAATGTGGCTCACAAACAGAAAATCAATAAAGGAGAAGGTTCAGATTCTGCTGCCTGTGTACTAAATGTTTGCTGACCAAAATAAGAGCTTAATAGGCAGATCTGTGAGCTGTTGTGAGTTTTACAGCTTTGCACTTTAGTGAAAAAGTTGGAATTGAGACTTACTCTTCACACCTACTGTGTAGTTTCACAAACATACAAGTGAAAAAGTTTTTTTGAAAAATATGGGAAAAAATAATTTATCAAAAGAATGTTCCTTTCTCTGAAGAAATGTTGACTCCCAATTATTTTCAGAGATGATTTCTGCAGGAAATTCAACACATTTCAGCTAGTAAAAACAAAGTGTAACTATGCCTCTTTGTATACAAATGTTTATAAAGAACCCTTTGTTAAAGAATTTGACCCACAGAATCAAAATGTAAGATAGGTTTTAAATCAGCCGTGTCTTAATTCAATGAATATTTGTCTCGTGCCAAATAAAAGCATGTGCTTGTTGTAACTCTTGCCAAATGCCATTAAATTAAATTAAAAATACATTCACTGTTATTTTTCAGAATCTGTGGCTTCACAGAGTATTAAAACAGGAACTCAAAGAACCCACTGAGTTCTGTTTTAATTTTATAATATTCTGGTTAATAATGTCTATTAAAACATCCATTAAAAAACCATCATGCTAATTTAACTGGGAATATATAATAGATGCTGTTTAAAGCTCCCACTAAATTAATGCTAAGACTCAGTGTCTTCAATAGATGTTGTTATTAATGATATCTTAAATAGATGCTATTATTAAAAAGAGTAATGCAACATTAATTAAAAGCAAGCTAGGACTTCACTGTCAAAAGAAAAACTCCTTACCTAATAGACACCAAAATATTAGCAATAGCAAAATATTTTCTTGTTTGGTTCACTGTCTTCTAGATTCTACCATTATTTTCCCTTTAGTGTAATGACCTCAGCTGCACATTGTAATCACATGAGATATCAAATGGATATAAAATATATGCTTCCACAGTGATGGAATGCTTCTTAGTTTCTTTCTTTCTATTTTAAAATTAATAAATGCAAAGTTTAAATGAACCAGAAAAGTACTGATGTCCAAATATTATTTGATGGTAATTTCTGTATTTATAGTCTGCATTACATTATGGATGCATATTGTTTTATATATGTATATATATTTCTGTGTAATTGATGGCATAAATTTATTGTTTTGACGACCTTTTTTTTTTTAAATTCAGTCTAATTCATAAAGCTCATAAGGCCATAAAGCTGCTGAAAGGCAAGAAATAGCCATGTTTGACTGCTTGAGACAGAAACATACAAGCAGGTCTCATCACACAGGCCATGATGGAGCTGCAGCAAGTAAAAAACAATATGAAAGCCAAAAGCCATGGATTCTTGCAAATACCACATTATAATAAACCTTACATGTTATACCCATGCTATTATGGCTTTTCTCCACCTTGAAATGCAAGCTAAAGTACACTCATCATCAGGGCCTGAATAATATAGCTTTGTTTTTAAGCTTGAAAGTCATTGCTTTTCTCTGTCATCAAAGACTGGGAAAACACTGAGCAGAAATGAACACATGAGAAAGAAAATATCATGAAGATAATGCTCATAGTCACATCTCCGATAGGGAACAAGATTCACATCACTTTGTAGACTCATATTTCCTGACATTTGTCCTAGCAGATTATGATCAAAGAAATAAAGCAGTGGCTGGGAAACACCACAGGAAGGATTAAATTAAATGATTATGTAAACTTCCAAAGGAAGACTTCTTCCACTTGCATCCTGGCTGCTAGAAACCTTTTAGAGTTTATTTAGAGGCTGACTCTTTTTCGACAGAGCAGGGTCTTGTTTAGGGATCCCCTGACAATTTTAGCTTGTTTTATTGGGCATGCATTGCCCTGCAGTTACCATCTCCTTGAACAGAACTGGCTGTCAAACCAGCAGCTGCTGCCTGTAGCCTGTTCTCCAGTGCCAGCCAGCAGGAGACCATGACTGAACTGCAAAGAAGGGTAATATCACATATAAAACCCACTAAAGTAACATTAGCTTGCTGCATGATGAAAAAATCTCTGTACCAAATCCTTGTATTTCTAATGAAGAATTATTTCAAGAAAGTAAGAGAGCTTTGAATTTAAAAGTGAAAAAATAAAAAAAATAAAAAAAAGACTACCCTCTTTTAACCCCAGTTGTTTAATATATTTCAGGCAGGGAATTCAATCAGCAAAAGCTAAGTGAATTGAACACTGAAAAGATTTTTAAAACAGATTGGACAGGTTTATAGCCTATGTAAAACAAAAATAATCAAATCATATTCATGTGCTAAACTGATTACCTTCAGCTGGAGTACTGCACAGCAGGCCTGGCCATGAGGGAACGGGAGGAGAACTGCATACAGTTAGGCTGACACTGACTGGGATTTTTGTCTGATAGAAAAACAGGGAGAAATCAGGGTTGACATTCACAGTAATAGACCTTTCATTCAAGAAAAGGATTATCTGATGTTTGATAAAGATACCTTTTTTAAATTTCAATTTTCATTTTGCTTTTGCTTTTAGAATTAGTTACAACACAGTTGCAAAAACTGCATGTGGAATAATATATAGGGTACTATTTGTCAGCAATTAACCACAAATCTTTCTACCAACTCCTTGTTTTTTAACTTATGGGCCCTCCCTTCTCTTCATTCTCAGTACAGAAGATACCTTCTTAACTTATCCCTATCTCATACAACCCAAATTATCCAAATCCTTGTGTCTTGTGGGATCAGCTGCTCAGAGAGCACAAAGGGAACACTAAATGTTAATTGCATTGGTTGCAGACTTTGCATCTGTTTTGAACAGCTACACAAATGAAAGTAATGAAGAATCAGATTTACATGCAGTTTATAGAGACCTTTTTTCAGTACAGAAAAAAATTAACCCATACTATTAATGACTAATTCATAACTTAGCTGTGCTGCCTACATTATAAAGGGAATAGTAGGTAGATGCTGCTGTACTGAGAACCGGTGAGTAAAGTTGAATATCACTGCAAAGTTAAAAGATATTTTAAATTTCTCTCACCAAGATTTTCTGAGATGAAAATTTAAAAGCAAAAAAATATATAAAAATATAATATATATTTTATAGTTAATTAGAGCTGAGTGTTTCCTTACCCCTTTTTTAGCACATGTATTCATGACTTTAGAAACAAAGCAACAGGTGCTGAAAGTATATGAACTGAAGTTAATTGAAAGTTTGTAGATTTGTGATATTCTCATGAAAATTTGCAAACACAAAGTATAAGGTTTTTGTTAATAATCTAAATCATTATTTTGAACTATGTATAACTAACAGCATGAAATCAATAAAGGATTTCAATACAATATTTGGAAATATTTTATACAGCTGTGTCACAAATAATAACAAGGGTTAATTGATTTTATTTAACACTCTCTCTTACAAAGAGAGGAAAAATTCCAGTTTGGGTATTGAAAAACTGAAATAGTTATAAAGCTCTAAAAACAGTCATTTTCAGCTTTGAAGACAGTACAGGTTGTAAAAAAAGCAACATCTTATGCATTCTCTTTCTGACAACACAATGCCTTATCTGGGGTACATTATTAGAACTAAAAAGCTCCAGCAAATGGCCTAGAGAACAGAAGAGTTCCTAAATCTGATGGCTTGAATCATTCCTCTTATTTCATGGTTCCCTTCAGCATTAAAGCACACTGCTGATCAACCTTCAAGACAGGGATTTGCAATGCCAAATCTTTCAGGACAAAGTTGATTGCTTATTAAAGATTCCTTAATTTTGGTGGTCAAGCTGTTTGTGAATCAAGAGGTGGAGCTTTGAGAGTTGGCACTGGAGAGCATCACGGCTGTTACAGAAAAGCTGACCTTGGAAACCTTGTATGATAAAGATATGATTCATCTTGTACTCACAGATGAAAAAAAAATGCATTGCAAGATAAAGAAAATTTTATTACAGAATGTATTGCCTCTCAAGAGGAGAAACTTGGATAAACTTTGATAAACTGAAGATATTTCTCAGTATTAAGAGTCACGTTGAGGACACCAGGACTCACATGTGGAGGAAGATTTAAATTCGCTCTAGTCAATGGATGTAAAACTGTCTAGGATTTTTATTACAAACAACACAGGGGTTAAAACACCTGCAGGCTACAGTTCTGCTGGCTGGCTGACTACTTTGTGAAGGACACTTTGGAACAAGAGAAAGTCTGTTCAGAAAGGAATAAGGCTTGATTAGCAAAGAAACACTTAAGAGGTCAAAAAGGGCAGGGACAAGAAAAGATTTGAGAAATATATCTAAATAAAAAAAACATTCTCCAGCAATACAAGTAAAAAGAGAACAGAAATACCCAGGGTTCTATACAGTAAGAGGAAAATATGAGCTTTGGCATCATGCCTTTATTAGCACAAAGAATTTTTTGCTTTTAAAAACTGAACTGTGATATGAGCTGGCAGGGCAAAGCTAGAGGGTAATGCAAAGAAAATGGATGTAGATACTTTCCATCAAATTTGATAGAAATGCAGTTATGAACTTAACAAATTTTTTCAGTAAGAATTGTTACTATATGGTTGGAAAATAGGAAAAGCAGCAATTATATTTTCAATGGAGAATAAATGTGATACAGACAAGTGCAAACTTGCTCTTTTGTCTGTATATAAGACAACAAATGATGAAGCAGAGCTCATTAGAGACATTAGGGGTTAGAGAATATTGGTTAACTATCACAGGAAGTTACCAGAAGTAGCCTGGAACTATATTTTCTCAACAAATCAACACAGAGGGTCTTACCTACCTTAAGAGGTGAAGCACCAAATGACTGAGTCAAATGTAAAATTGTGGGTGAGGCTGAGTAGTTCAGCCATCAAAAGCTAAACTACAAGTGAATAAAAAGACTTGTCCAAGGCAGAAAGACATGGGTAGTAATGCAGAACAGCAGTAGGGTGCAGAAGTTTCTTACCAATATGTCCATGGGTCTGTATTTCTCTGAAGACTTCAATGAAGAATGGCACCAGCAAGAAGGTAAAACCTTCTGCTGGTAAAAAACCCCAAACAGTTGTGGAATAGATGGGAAGGATCTAAAACAGCCTTCCTTCCCATGCTCTCTTCACCCTTCAGGACTGGTTGCTAGAATGACAGTGAATCACTTGACATTGACCTCTTGGTCTCTTTCAGATATCTTTGCTTTCACCAGGATGCTTCAGAAGCCCATCTTCACCTTTTAGTTTGCATTTCAAAAACCACATGCTAAACTGGCAAGGATATTGCTTCTGTTTGATGCATAAGTAGTTTACATGTTCTTTGAACAGTCTGCCCACAGTATCCAGATGCTCTGGAGTCAGAAAGATAGTGCTTATGAGTCTGACTGGATCCACTTGCCAGCTCTACAGTGCCAGTAAAGTCCATAACATATGCACAGGAACCCAGCATTCACATCAGATCAGTATGAACATGAAAAAGCTTGGTGAGGTATTTTGGTAAGGCAGTAAGAGCATTCCCTGATGGAGCCTATGCAAACAGTACTTAAATATTTACCATTTACTATGGAGTTCTTAGATTAGATATAAATGTACTAGCAGTTTTTACTTCCACATTACCAAACTTTACCCGCTGTAGCTATTTTACTGATCAAACCCTCCTTTTAAGGTCCCCTAGATACCAACTGTTTCAGCTGGAGAAGACCACTTTAATTTAAAGTGCTTTAAAGCACACCTGTGAGATCTCTTTTTGATAGCTTCACAGAGAGTTTCAGCTGTCTGTCTCAGGTGACAGAGATGAACTTGGCTGCTCATGAAGAACATAATGTCTCATTTCACCAGGATCTTCTAGCTGATGCTCCTATCTTGGGAGCAGCACCAAAAGCTCATGGAGTCCATATGCATGTCACAATATATGAACTAGCACAAACAAGTGAAATCTGATGTTCTGCAAACAAAAACGTTAGTGTAGGTAGGCGCTGCTTCTTTGTCACTCCAGGCTGAGAATTATGTTATAACTGAACTCAGGTCTGAGTAGAATTACACATAAAAACATTTTCTTTAAGCGTGTTTTTAAATAGAGTTGGTTGCACAATCATTCTGTTCTGCTGGAGGCATAGTCTGTGAGTATGGCCACTCTCTTTTGTCTGTTCTTCAGTTGAAAACATAGCCTAAAAATCTGTCTTTGCTGCAGAGTTAGTTCCAGTGACAGGAGTTGATTTGTTAAGAACAAAGTGGATTCTTGCCCTGCTTGTGGGCAGTGCATTTAAAAGACATGCTCCATCCCTGTCCTGCGTTATATGTTTACAACAAAGCATTCAGAAACCTAAGTGGAAAGGCTGCCTTGCCTGTGGCACAGATTCTTGCTGTAGCTTTTAAACTGCACCACCACTGGTCTTGCTCTCCTTGATTATATATTCATACATAGAAATAAGTGTGGAATAAGTGACTGCTTTATAAATGTGCTCTCTCAGAATGCAGAACTGCTGTCTGCAGAGAACATTTATTCACGGAGGGCCTGCAAGGCCGCTGTGTGAGCAGTAATGTGATCTGACTATGACTGAGGGCAGCCATGCCACCAAGTCTTACAGTTGCTGACCTTCGGAATTCTGTGTTTACAGCAAGTCACAGAAAGGCACCAGAACCAAGAACAGGTGGCCTTGAGTTGTGTGAACAGCCTACGGGGTTTTAAACAGTTCTGATTTATTCAGTGTGACAGTCCCTGTATAATAAGGTTGGACTTGGAGATTGCAAAATACGAAGTTTCCACGTGTGTTTTGGTGAATATGATAAGGAAAATGGGCTATAGCTTTTTATGTAAGTGATTGACATTCATTCCATCATCACTTTTAAGATTCTGAACGACACTGCTTGTGGACACATCTTGTGTTCCCTGCTGTCGCCTGATCTCTCAGCCAACAGTGCTCAGCCAGAGCTTCCCATTTCTCTAACACCAGTCAGTCTGTCTTTAAAATTTGCTGCTCTACCATAGCAATCATGTTTCTGATAACCTCAGACTAAGAAGATGAATTTTACTGAAATTATTTGTTGAATTTTCTACTTTTTTCCTGTTATACATATTTTCTTTTTTTTTTCACATGGATTTTGTCAGATTAAGATCCTGATCCTTCAAACAGGCAAATTCAGTGGATCTGTAATAACAGATAATAAAACAGGGACACCAGTGCTCTCACAAGAATCAAAATACTTACCTGATCAGCTCTCAAGTAAAAAATCTTTCAAATTTAGGTTTGTCAGACTACCACAGCAGTATATCACAAATCTCACTACAATATCCTTTCTTTTGGTCTTAAACAAGTTTGTTCTTGTTTCAAAACTGCCCATTGCAGTCAAATATTTAGCAACTACAGCTTGTATTTTGGCTAAGTTAATATCTCTACAAATTCCATTTTATTGTGAGTGTAACATGACAAAAGGCATAGCTGAATATAAATAGCCTAACTCATTCTATCTTACAACTAAAATATTAGGAGTTGGGCATTAAAAATAGAAAATGTGTATATACAAAACTTTGCCAACTCTGCAAAAGCATGTCTCTATGAAACTGTTTTCTGATAGATGTTTCTTTCAGGGAAAGTCACCTGCACTGATCTGGGGATGAGGATGTGACACAACCATACTGCACAGGCACCTGTACCTTCTTCTCTAAAAGGGCTTTGTCAGAGCCTCTATGTGCAGTTTTCAATCCAGGCATGAAGATGCCTGATCTTTGCTTTAAGCAGTACAGGAAATTTTAACAGAAAAAAAAAAAAAATCTCCAGTTTTTCACAACTGGTGTAGACTAATTTCCAGCTACATGTACCTTCAGAACTCCCTTTGAGGATATCATTCACAGTTCCAGTGTTGGGACCTTCCTAGATGAGCATTCTCATGGCCTCTCAGATTTCTCCTGTCTCTGTTTCCTTGAAAAACAGAGGTTTTGGGGGGTTTATGGGTCTTTCTGACCCAGAGTAGAAGTTACCTATAATACCCACCTTCACTTAGGGTAATTTTGCTATTCCCCACAATTATAGATGCAGTATCCTCTACTGGCCTTTTGTCAGCCACCCAGTTGATGGACAGCTACAAGGCCTTGGAGACATAAGAAAGAGCCTTTTTTACTTTTTTGATGAGCAGCTGAATTTGTACCTCACCTGGAATAGTCAGCTGAAACTCTCACTGTGCAGATAGCTGGAAAACATTAAAAAGAGGTCTCACTGGTGTGTAAAGTGACCCCTTCCCAGACAAATTATCAGATACCCTGGGGGGTTCTTGTAATGATTACTAATGCACTTACAAATAGCTGTGGTCAGTAAGGCAACACAATGATTTTACTAAGTGGGGAAGATAATATTGCATCACCTCTGTTTTCTATGAAACTGCAAATATACAGTGAACTTTTGCCAACTTCTGTCATTTGTCGATGTGATTTTGTCTTACAGAAGGCAGAAACTGAAATGGGCAGAAACCCAGTGATTTTCCACATGGTATTTATTTTTCATTTTACATAAAGTCTCTGTTGCACAGCCTCTTTTATCCTAACAATTTTTATTCACTAGCCACACTCTGTCACCACCTTTTAGAATTGCATCAGTACTAGCAGCACCATTACTGTCCTTATTCAGCAAAACACATATGTTCCAAAATTTCCAATGCCCCTGCAGCAAGAATAGTTATAGAATGATCTGGGAAAAAAAAAAAACAACAACTCATTTTTCTTGATATTCTGTCTAACAACACCGTACTTTAGATGTTACTGAGGTTACAACAATAATATGGAAAATGTGTTTTGGCTTTTATAGTATTTTTTGTCTTGATGAAATATTAGTAGGAGCTCTCTGTGCCAGATAAAGAGATGGAATCACATTTGTATTTGATACAAGAAAGGCAGATGAAAGCAGGCAGAAAAAAACCCCAACAACTTATGTGACTTAAAAGCAATCAGGTGCTCTAGAAAGATGACTTTTTATTTTGAAAAGCCATACATATCTCCAGTCAAAAGATGGGGATAGAATGAGAATTTGTGCTGCACCATTTGCTCCAGCAGTGTTCTCTCCACCTACCCTCTTCAACTGTCGTCCTTTTCAATTTAGCTTGACTGGTGGGAGATAAGGAACTAAAGGGCAATGAAGAAAGTTGGACAGAGTATTTTTGTTCCCTGGAAAATCAGTATCACTCTTCTAGAAATCAGGATGCTGTAGCTGTCTGGGCTCATCCTGCACATCAAACTCCAGTGCAAATTTTCTTCCTGCATTTCCTTATTTTAAACTTCAGCAAATTACAACTGTTTCATAGACTTACTAAAATCACCCTGTGGGAATGTTAGAATAATAGTCCTTTTCTTAGCATTGTAACTACAAGGTGTTTTTAAGGTGAACCTGGAAATGCCCATAATGCACACAAGCATGTGTTTCTCTCTGTGTATATGTGTAGTGCATACCTACCTACACAAGCTGACAGACACCTTGTGGAAAGAGGAAAGAAATATAGGATACTTTTCCTGACCTGGGGGTCAGGAACTTGAGTCTGACAAAAATAAACATCTTTGGGATGAATATAAAAGCTCCTGCATGAGGCAGCTTTTTTTCCATTGCATTTTACTTTGTGGAAGAAGAATTTTGGCTTGTTTAAAATACTCCCAGATGTCAATTAACTCCTTTCACAACTGCTTTGTGCAGTAAATTTCTCTAAGCTGTATTTATCATGGACAGAGTGGTTTTTAAGACCTGTGGGGAAGGTTATTTTTTTTTTCTTCTCCTTTTTCTTCCCTTCAAATTTTCTCAACTCAGAGATGCGTGAACTACTTATTGAATTACAACCTGCTGTTCATGAATCACTCAGATGCTGGCCTGATTAAACAATAACAAGATCATTTCAATAGCAATGGACTCATTTTTATGTTATTTTTTTTTTCTTTTTTTCTTTTTAGATGAGAGTTACAGAAAAGAAACCCTTAAAGATACCCTTATTTTGGGATAGAGGTTTGAGACTGGGAGGCACAGTCCTCCTGCACTGTGCTAACATTATTTAAGTGTAGGAGATCCCTTGTACAGAACTGGGATGCTAATTTGTCATTTTTCTTGTCCAGGACAAGTGTTTGCTTAACTGACTGCTGATTGTATGGAAACTGCCTCTATTAACACCTAAAATCCTGAATTTTACTGTGTGTAGTTTTTGGATGTACCTTAAACCGAGACTGAATACCCAAGCACTTGAAAAAGACTAAAATATACTTTAAAATGAAATAAAGTATTTGGATGTTCCTAAACTAAATTGTTTCATTTCTGGTCCTTGTGCAGGCAGAAGGGATTAATTTTGAGCTGCTGCAGCTCTGAATTGCATTACCAAGGGGAGGATACCACCACTAACCACTAGCATTTGGTAGTGCAGTTTTGCTTTTAAACTAGATTTCCTGGCAGGAATGTGTATTACACAGAGTTAAGAGTCATTGTCATGTATTAAACATCTTTGGTAGAAGAGTGACCACAATCATGTCAAACCTGAGTGATTGTGTTTTAGTAGTCAGAGATAAATTGCATGAGAAGAATGAAGAAGTGTTTTTTAAGTGTTTAAGAGAAATTTTAGATAAAATATCATTTCAATTAGCATATTATGCTGCTTTCTCTCATCTGTGTGTTTCTACAGTAATTCAGCTGTGAAAAGCTTCAGTTTTTTTTTTTTTTTTTTTTGTTGGAAACTAATTATCAGCTTCAATGAAATTCAATACATCTTTGGCTTTCTACCTCAGTTAATAATTTTTTTCTGCTTGTATCACTCAAATTAATTGCAGTTTGTTACCTGTTCAGAAATTATTGAGATTTTAACAAATTTCCACGGTATGTTCAAGTCTGTTTCGACAAGGAAAGAGGATTTTTCCAGCAAATTTGAGAGAGCCATGAATATGTCACTGTCAACAAGCTTTAGAATTCTAAGTTAGGGTTTTAAGTTTGAACATTATACAGTTACAAACCACGTATACATAGGCATACAACATTCTTTAAAAAAAACGTTTGCATCTCATGTCACAGTTTCAGCCCTTGAGTAATTTATGCAGTAATACAACTATAAAATAGTTTAGGATGAAAAGGACTTCTAGAGGCTGTTTTGTTCAATGTCCCACTCATGGGGTTAATCTGGCCCTTGCCCGAGCTGATTTTGAACATCTCCAAGGACACAGATTCTGTAGTCCCTCTGGGGAGTATCCCTCAGTGTTTGCTATTACTTTGAAAAGCTTTTTTCTTTTTACTTGCTGAAATTTTCATTCATTCCTTCTTTCCCTTTCATCATGTAGCTCCAAAAAAGTCTGTCTCTGTCTTATCTACACCCTCCTATTAATTAGTTGTATGCACTCCTAATGTCCTTCCATGGCCACCTTCTCTGGGCTGAACAGACCCAGCTCTTTAAGCCTCTCCTTGTACACCATGTGCTCCAGCCCCTGACCATCTTGGTGTCCCTGCCCTGGACTGCTTTATCATAGTGCTGCTTTGGCTAGAAGTTCTCAATAGCTCATTACTTTGCCATTAATTTGTTGTCTCACAGATTCATGACATCATAAATAGTAATGACTGATATCATGAGAAGCAGATTATGAAAGCATTTAATTAACACTGGAAGTGTTCTTCTCTTTTCTGGTTTGTGTCACCCTTGGAGAGCACGCAGTTGCACATGAACATGCACATGCTGGTTCTAAAAGTCTGATTGCAGCAACACCTGTCCAGGTGCCAGATAGACAGAAAACTCCCCTGAAGATCTGAATGCATTCAAGGAGGTATCTGCCTCCTGAAATCTATCTGACCTGATAAACAAAAAAAATGTTGAAGAGGCCTTATTTTGAATATCATGTAACAAAGATATCATAAAGCATAGTCTCTAAAGCATTCTTTTCTGTATATTTGGTATATGAACTGGGCATCAGCTGTTAACATTTATTTTTTATTAATTTGTAAACATAATGTCCTTTAATATTCATTCATCAGCACCTGCACTGTCAAAGTTAAATTTTCTCACAGT